TCCCCAAGGATATGCTGCACCGTATTCTCGCAGCTACCACAGCGGTGGCACTCAGTTGTGGGCTCTTTTTCGGCTTTACGGCACAGATACTTATCAAAACACCCATGGTCAGAAAGCATCTGCACCAGCGGGAAGGTCAGTAACCCATACCGCCTGTTCGTCCAGTCTAACAGGACCGGGCGAACAGCCTCCATAGTCCTGCTTCCTGCCTTCTAGTGGGCTAGACGCTCCTTCCACTTTACAAGCACAAGCTGCAGAGTTTGGAGCCACTCTCTGGGAGAGAGGCGGTACCCGCGGTGTCAAAGTTCAATAAACTCCGCCTCTATATCCCTGGGTAGGGACGCCGTCAAAACGCATGCCGCCTCATGGGAGATCGTCCGGTATCCTTGTACGACTCCGACGGCCATCGCCCTCTGGGGCCTTCTCAGGAAGGCAGTGGTTCTTTCCGGCACAGCCCCAAACCAATATGTGGGCCCCATATGAAGCCATGGACCAAACCACCCCTAAGCAGAGGCTGCGGCAATTCACATCGGGCCCTCAACAAAATAACTAAAATTATAAAAAGACATCCGCACACAAGACAAAACATTTTTATAGTACATGTATAAAATATTTTAAGAATCATTAAAAATTGAATTTTTAAGAATCACTAAATGAGTCAGAATTTAAAACAAACTAAAACAGTTTTTTTTAAATATACATAGTACCTATAATGTGATAGTCAGAGCCTTTATACAATATGTAACAAAAACCCTTTTTTTTTGCGGATGGAAAATCATCTAATGACGCCTTTCGCTCTGGGTGGAGCGTAAGGGAGTGTCAGACTTTTACTGACTAAAAACCATCCGTGTTCCTTCAGTGCCCTTACGTTCCGGAGCCGCGGTATCTCTTTCGAACAGCCCGCAGCCCCGGCAGGCGTCGGCCCTTGCGGGCCCCTTCACGATGCTGACAGCTCTTTGAGGCGCGCGTGGAACAAAACGCACCGTCGACACGGCCTGTCGTCGTTAGACGGATGGGCTGCGAGCTACCCATTGCTCGCCGTCCACAGGCCCGCACCTACGGTGGCCGGGGGCCATGACGTAGCCCCCGACGCCCGGGGCGTCTTCCGCGGCGGCCGGGGTAGAAAGCTGCTGCTCTCTCCTTCTCCCGCTCCGCTACCTCGTTCGCTAGCACCACTGCTTCGCAGAAGGTGGTGACGGCATCCCATTCCGTCTCGCTCCGGACCATGGCTACGACCAGGGCCGGACGCGAGAGGTCGCCGCCGCCTATCGCCGCTACGAGGACACGGCGGTGCTCCGCCCAAGCAGGGCACACCTCCACGGTGTGTTCCACCGTGTCCTCCGGTCCATCCTCGCAGTGGGAGCACCCGGGCGTTTCCTCAAGGAGGCTCGCCGCCTCGCGGGAGATCGTGCGGTAGCCGCGAACCAGTAACAAAAACCCTGTGGTTGCCGTTAAGTGTGTTATCAGAATCAGTAGCCAAGCGTATAGAAATATTTTTTTTTTCAAAAAACACATTTAAAAAAATTATATAAATGAAAAAAAAATTAATTTTTTCAATTGTATGTGGTTTTATTTCCTCTAACTCACACGAGTATCGGTAGTGTGGGGTCTTTGACAATCCTCTTACTCCTAGCTCAATGCAGAGGTAATAAAACCACATACAATTTGCAAATTAATTATTTTTTTCATTAATTTTTTTTAAATGTTTGATATAGATACGTGTTTGAAATAGCAATAAGTACATGTCTGTAATCGAAAATTATTAGCTTGTAACTATGTAGTTGGAGTTGGTAAAATAGTTGTCTACATTATCGCATTAGGTGATAAACCTGTAAAGATAATTGTATAGTGGAAAATAAATAAATAAATCTTTTATCGATAAACAAATCACCATAGTCCGCATAAGTTTTTATTTCACATAATATTATAAGTAATACATAGATAAAGAATACCAAGGTGTTATTTGAAATTCTTTTTTTAAAGTATTTAGAAATGTTCTTCGGAAAAAAACTTAGAAATGATTGAAAATAAGTTTATTATTTTGCTACAGGTTTATTTTACATTATGCAGGATAAAATTTAAAACATTTAACAAATCGAAATAGGTTTAGTTAACTTATTTTAAAAATCAGATTTGTGAAAAGAAAAGTCCTATCAGTTTATCGTCTTAGATGGTGTTAACCATTTTTTTGTTTTTATTATAAGGCCTTAATCACAAAACCGCTATTTAAAAAAGTTGTTGATTTTCAAGAGTTATTAAATGAACTATCTGGAAAATATTTAATAAATTAGGAAAACAAAAAAGTTTTATACTATATAATAGTTTAACAAAGTGAACTTTAAGCAGACAGCTGTTTAAAAATAAAACGTGACATCTACCTAGGGCTAAGTATTCCCCAGAAAGATGTTTTGCTTTAACTTTACATTACTATTCACCGAAAGCTTAACAATATGTGCGAAATATCAAAAGTTTTGAAATTGGTCTGCCTTCATCACATGCTATAACAAAGTGGTACAGTACAATTTATGGCCGACTTGGCTACACAAAAAAAGCGATAACTATTTTAAAACTAAGACTAGAGAGTAACCCTGACAAAAAATTATATTGTATATTAGTGATAGATGAAATGAAAATAAAACAATTGACGGAGTACCATGCAAGTTCCAAAAGACATTTTGGTTATATACATAATGCCTTTGGCTACTAGCATGGTATTCTGTCAATTGCTTAATTTTCATTTCATCCATTACCAAGGTACAATAATTTTTTTATCAGGGTTACTCTTCGAATTTTAATGCGGTCAGCGCTTCTTGAGTAAACCCTGGTCGGCGATCGATGGTAGTGTACCACTTAGTCAATGTACGTGGTGCAGGCAAACATGTTCCAAAAGTTTTACGTACATAGCGATAAGCTTTTGGTGAGTAATAGTTAAGTGTTAGGGCATAGTATTTCTTGCAAACTTGTGGAGCCTGTTTATGCATTTTTTTATGTCAAGGCATTTTTTCATTTTAATTTTCCTTGGCCAAAGTGTTGGCTCATACTCGCAGTGGGAGTAGGACTAGTTCGGGATATTTAAGAATTTTTACCAAATTGTGACTTTCGAGATAACTTATGGAATTTTGCCGGAACATCCAGCTTTCTTTTTTCAATGTTGACGATATTGTGCAATCACGACGATCACCCTAAAATAAATAATTTTATTTTAGTCAGAAGATTCAAGCTATATATATATATATATATGATAAAGATATTTATTACATGAGTAAATAAAATACAAGTGTTAAAAAACTTAAAACGAGCTACATGTTTTGCCATTTATGGTGTACAAAAATTATACTACATTAAGTTTACGATTACAATAATAGGTATATAAATATATGAATTAAATTTGATAGATTAATGCTTTTGTAAACTTAATAAAATATTTTCAAGTAGAGTTAATATTGGTGTCAAAGTTAATAATCTAAATATAATTACAGCCAAACATTACCTCCCACAAGTTCAAGATTGGTACTGCAGTGTCAGATTCATGGTTTCTACAAGTTACAATCCAAGTGTGCCACCTAAGAGGATCTCTTAGAAATAAAACAAACCAATAATAGAGAAATTTACTACTTTTTGTAATACTTTATTATAAAATCTAAATAAAAACTACAAACCGGTTCGGCAGACAAACCCGCATGGTTAATTAACTTATCGATAGCTAAAGTTGCGGCGTACATCACTATAGTGTAACACTTTCGGTTGCAGTAATACCAGTTTATTTTTATAAAACTTGCACACTTTTGCTGCGAGGTAGCAAGTTTCGATTTGACTTATTTGGCCTGTATTTTGTATAATGTTTTAAAAAATACTAGTTATCGATTATATTTAATTGTATAATATTCAGTATCGTGTTGAAATTGAGCTGAATATATAAATCATTTAACAAAATCCACTACACATCTATATGTAATGATTATTATTCATCACAAACTGATTTAGTTATTAGGAAATATATTTTCGTTAATATATATAACTTGTGTAGTAAATTATATTTATTTAAAAATAGATTATTTTTCACTTTATGAACTATGATGGCCACACTCGGTATTGGACGATAATATTCAGAAAATACGAGTTTTAATGATAAAATTACTTTAATATTATGTTAAAATACAAATTAAAAGTCACGTTGTCCTTTTGCATACTTGACGTTTTTGATTGCTTTTTTCATGTAAATACACTGCAATTCGGCATTTTGTCGGAGCTCGATTTACTGGCACGATCAATTTGGAATGACGCACGACGCGGAGCAATTAGTTTTATATAACGAGTATGAGTCGTACTCTCGTACCTTTTACAGAGGGGTAGGCCTTGCGGTGCCGTCTCCTTTGGTTTAATACTCAAAGTACGTTGAGCATCAACGTTTAGGAAAAAATATTTTCATTTACTCAGTTCTGCCTAGGCCAAACTAGTTAAGACTTAATTATTTGGGCCAAATTATTATTGTCCTGGGCTAATCTAGTATATCCTGACACGCGTCGGATAAACCAATTTGGCCTAGGACAGACTAGTTTGGCCTGAAATCGGATTTCACCTCTAACATGTTCACAGAAATAGCACGCAACAGCACTTCGGCCTGTGTTGCTTTCTATTTATTTCTACCGTGATTTTATAAATACATATGTAACATTAAACTGTTACGCTGGCATCGCATATTTCATTTTAGTGTAATTAAACCTCATTCGTCTGTCCCTTATTTCCCGGTTCAAGATCCATCGAGAGTGATTTAAGGTTATACATAATTCATCTCATACTGCATCCTGGTCCCTTGCTATTCCTCTATTGCTAAAACAGCCCGCGATAAATAAAGATGTACCGAAAATAAATAAATGTCGGTTGATCAAGGAACGAGCAGTCTTATCTTGCCTACTATGTGAAGGGATTGGGTGAATAAATTAAATGATACAGCTACATATCCGTAACATTTTTTTTATTAATAAATAAATGAGGCAACGCTAGACATTCTTCCCGTGGTCGAAGCTGGCTTGCAATTGGCTGTCGTGTATGAACTTATTGTACCCCATACCGCCTGCCTCGGGACCTACAAAATTAAAATATTATAATGCTTTTCTTTTTTTGATTTAAGAACGAACGAAGAATGAGTCAATGAAAAACTATTCTTTTAAAATTTCTGTCCGATATACCTACTTAGTTTCTTTATTAGAATTATGAATTCACCGATGGTCACAAGCCTTCTGAAGTATCCGTTAAAAGTAAAATTTCCCAGAAACATTTATTCGTGCTCCGCACGCTAGCAATCATAATGGAATGGATTTCCGCATCAGTTGGTCAAGTATAATTTCATCATCATCATCACCATCGTCAAGATCATAAACACTGCACTATTAATTATATATATTAATCATAGATTTCCACCATTGAATGTCACAAAGCACAAGCATAAGTCAATTGCATCTATCGACTTATATTATTACTACTTACAACATTATTATTTTACGAAAGATGTAACATTCAATGTGCTTTCAACAACTTAATCTGGTACCTCACCTGAAGGGATAAAAGATTTTTCTTGATAAGTTATTACAAGTGTATAAAACAGATCTTTCTGTTTTTGTATATTTTATCAAATATGTGATACTCCGAAGATGCACTTCTCACTTCAAAATTTGTATGTCAATATATTTGAATTCGATATGACATTATTCGACATCGGCATTTGGTCTGATCAAAGTGAAAGAACTTCTTTTCTAATAATTTTTTATATTTATGCAAATACTACAAGCTAATTTTAAAGATTTATAGAAGGTTACTTTCAGTAATATTAAAAAGTTAAAGGAACCCTTCGTTAACTTTGACATCGGGAAGCAAACACCTCAGTCCCCCTTAAAAGCGATAAAATTTGTTGAATTAGTTTTATTCAATGAACTTCTTTTACGCCCAGGAGTTTTTTTTTATGTAATAAGAGTGACAAACGAGCACACAGTCCACCCGATGGTAAGTGGATGCTTAGGCTCTGAGAAATCTACATCTATCCTCAATTAAGAATCAAAATGCAGATGCGTGGTCTCTCCTGAGGACTACGATGGAATGAACGATCTTTTCCAGTGAGAAGAGCCTTTGGTTCTCTACACTCACCATACGAACACGACAGCATTAAGCTGCTATTTTACGCTGGTATTCTATGAGAGCGTGGTCCTTCCCCGGTCGAGACGACTCATTCGTGCTGCCATAATGTAGCTAAAAGATGGCTCTACCATGTAAATATCTGGGAGTCTGTGTATTTATACAGTAGTATCTACTACCCGCGCGACTCTTAACCAAATGGATTGTAAGGATATATGTAACGCACCAACTCCAGGTCCGTTGATTAGATGGGCGTTGCCGACGATCAGGTCCTCTTGTGCTGCGTCGCGGTTTTCCGTGCGGAAGTTGGCCGGCTGCACCTGTGGTTATGCACTTGCTCTGTACTGTACCAGCCACGCTCATATCAAGCGGTGGTTCTCACCCCTGCCTCGAGCACGTAAAGCCGTTGGTCCTGCGCCCGAGTTCTCTCAGATCGTGTCCAATTAACGATAGAGAATACGTCTATGTTTGTGCATACGCTTGGGGACCACGCATATAGTTAATCTCTGTGACCAAAATTCGGTCTAGAAGACATTATTACATATTATATTATTATCAGCTACAGGTGCCGGTAACAAGACGATCAAGCCCGTTCAAAGAAATAGGATGCACGTTATAGCTTATATACGTCCCACACACTACTGAGCACATATCTCCGCTCATTTATGAGAAGGTTTTATTTATTTACTTCTTCCTTATACCATATTACAAAAGAAAACAAAGAGGGTATTATTTCCTTTAGACAATTTCAGCTAGCTGGCAACGAAATGTCCACTGATGTCCACCACGCTGCCTCATGCGTGATGGCGGACATCATATGTCTTCTTTTCATATGTCTTCTTTTCTATGTTTTCTTCAGACAGAGTATGGTACACAAACGGTACAAAAAAGGTAAAACGGTAAACACATATCCAATAAACCGTTGATAGGAAGCAATACCTTTTACCAGAGCGAAGATGTCAGCTCAACATGGTGAAGTATAGTCAAATGTTCCAAAAAATGTTTGTGACACGTGTTTAATTGTCTACTGGCACCGCTTTTATCTTAATGTAATAAACGGCACAAATAATAAACGCTAATCTTGTTTTTTTCAGCAAAAGTATTTAAGATAGCAGCTACCTGAATCAATTACATAATGTTATTATTTTGTAAGCCTTATAATCAAGTTAAGCATCAAAATTTTATACCTCCACCTGTTAATCTGACAGTAAGTGGATGCTGTGGCTTTAAAAGCACCTACATCTATCCTAGTAAATGCCGATGCGTTGGTAACCCTAAGGACTACGGAGCCGTGGTAGCTCAGATGTTTAACGCTCGCTGTAAATATAACAGAACGCGAGTAACCTGGATTCGATCCCCGCCGGCACCAATGAAATTGTTAATTGCAATTTTAAGTGCTGATTTACCACGTGCTCGGCGGTGAAGGAAAACATCCTGAGGAAACCTGCATGTCTGAGGAATAAGAAAAAAAATATTTCGAAGACATGTGAAGTTCGCCAACACGCATTGGGCAGCGTGGCGGACACTTCCTTCCGCTTAAAACCCTCTAAGAAATGAGGGGAGGCCTGTGCCCAGCAGTGGGGCGTATATAGGCTGTAACTTTAAGTAGATGCTGCGGCTTTAAAAACACCTACATCTATCCTAGGAAATGCCGATATGTTGGTACCCCTAAGGACTAAGGTGGAATGTCTCGTTTATAGTAAAAACGGCCTCCGGTTTTCGACACTCATCACACGAAACATTGCATTGAGCTGCTATTTTACGCTGTGAGAGCGTGATGCTACCCCGGTCGAGCCGACCTATCCTTGCTAAAGCCATAAAATACCTGCAGAATGGATATAAATTGAGATTACGTAGACTACGATAGAAAACCTCTTTAATATCCTCGAGTAATAAATGGTCTCTGGCTTTGGTTCTACCACCGTACGGTCAGCTTCACCGTACACAAAAAGCAGCACCATGTGTACAGTAAATCGGCCTAAACTGCTTCCAACAAAATCGTAAAGCAATAAAAATTTGATCCCAAATTGAAACCCGAAGTGTGTTTTAATATTTTTTTTTTTAGTAGGAGCTGGAAGGAACACACTTGATTCTTCTTTATTTACTACGCCAACTTCGCATAATCTTTTCTCATCATAATATAATATAACCTACTCTGACAGCTAGTGCACATATCAGTGTTCTGGCCATGCACGTTTTAGTAAACATTGACGACTCGGTGGTCGGTGGCACAGTGATTGTTTGGCTGGTTAGAAGAAACTATTTGTATGGCTTCCCGGATCTGTTGTGTATGTGTGTGTGAAACCCCTCCAAGATCCAGGATAAATCCTGAGGAACTTAGGAAAGAATATTGTAATCATGCAAAAAGTATAACTTTTGTCATTGCATATCTAAATTGAAATCGTGCAAAATATAAATCTCTCTCGCACAATCTAATAACTAATATATGTCCAATCGGACACAGTATATGTGATTTGTCAGTTGCTCGCTCATACGTAAGATATATGGTAAGAAAGAGAAGCCTAGTCTGTCGATTTGCTTCAGACCTGGCCATCGTTCCTCATGATATCGGGCGCCACATTGCCGCCGGGGTAGCGGTTGTAGATGCCGTTCAAGTTGTAGTGCAGGTTCATGTCCGGGCCGATGTTGGCTTTCAACAGTTGCTCCCAGATGCCGCCTGTGAAGAAAAACAACCGCCGATGGTAGCTATTTGAACAGTACCAAACCCTGTAGGGTTATAATATATTGATGAAAATTTTAAAATGAATTCGTTAGCACATTACTTATCATTTATCATCAAAATAAAACAAGAAAATTTAAAAAAAATATGCATTACTTAAATATTTTAATATAGGTACCACTTTCCCTATAGTTTCGCCATGCCCGTCAGTCCATCCGCGGTTTTACTGAGCTCTTCTCTTTAATAGTTAGGGTTTTACCACACCGGTCGATCGATCGTCGATCGATGGTGGAGTGGATTAGTCGACGTCGATCTATCCGCTTAATTATTCGAGAACCCGGTCCGCCAGGTTCGAGACCCTGCATTCCACCGACCGCTACCCTACTAACCTATTGTCACCCAATTCTATATTTTATTAATTGATTTTCAGTAATTAGGTAGAATCTAATTTCGCAATTAAGGGAACCTTCATATTTAAGAGATTTTCAGTATTACTGTTACTCATCCGAAAAGCTATTTAAAATGTCATCTAGATGAAATAAGCGATCTCTGCGCTTCAAAAACGATCACATCCAGAGCCTTCTGCGTTTTCGTCTCCGTAATATAATCAAGACAAGAGCGCACTGGCCAACAACAACGCGTCCTCTTCTGAATATCTTTTGAAAAGATACTGATGATGAGTCTACAACCACATCGATTAATTGTGGATCGATGATAGAACAACGTTTTATCGGTAAGTATCCGTGTATCAGCTAAAGCTACCACGCCAATCGATCAATCGGTGTGCTAGTTTTTAATCACAACTACAAAGTTGTAAATTAAATTTTGAAAAACGTATTTATTTCGGACACAGGTGATTTTACCCGTCAATTCCATCGTGTAGGATATCGTTGGATAGGTCTTCCAAAAAATTGGAGATATGGATCAAAGTTTTTTTCGATTCAAGGGTCTGTTTGTGAATTCACGTTATGCCTACATAGTTATGAATATTTAGCTTTTAAAATGATATTTTTGTTAGTCGTGTGTCCCTCCCCTACTAACCAAACGATTGTTTTTGGAAATGTTAAATTATGCACGATAGTAGCATATATAATGAAGTTAAAAAGTATCAGTTCTAAGTAGGCTTAACAAGTTAACGAGTACAGTTGACCAAAGTATAAAATGCATTTGGATTAGTAAAAATTTCGTTACAATGTCATAGAAAAAGATCTAAAATTAGCTGCATTATAACATTGTAATATTATTGTATGTGTAAAAATAAACATTTTATAAGAATATGAGTTATACATTACAACTATAGCTTTAAGCATATTTTTAAGTTAGTAGATATGCAACAGTTTCATCTTCTCTTGGTTTACACGGGCGACCCTCAGCATAAGGTTTGTTAAGGTCATGAATATCTTATGGACGCGCTGCCAAGAAATAATACATGAGAGGGAACTATAACCATTTGAGCACCAACTTGACATGTGAATGATTTTAAAAATCGAAAAGTTATTTCTTTTTTGAATACTTCTCCCTATAAGTGTGCATGAAAAATAAGTCTTTCAGTAACAATCGTCCTATTGGGGACTATTTTTGTTGTTACAGCGGTCAAACCATGAGCTTTCTTAATATGCTCATAGCATCAAGAAGGCCACGTTAACGATCACCATTTTAACGGGCAACTACGGAACCCTGCCTCTTCCTGTGCGTGACCGAGACACGCATTTAGTCGGTTTTTATATGTTGTGTTCTATTTTAAAGCTTACAACAATATAGCACGCATATTATGCTAAAAACTTGTCTTCAAAAACTGCTGTACCTGTAGTATTGTAAACTCTCGGATCCCAGAATAAATGAATAAACCTTTATATTTGTAAAACGTAACCATGTCTACCACCTTCTTTAATATTTAAAACCATGAATTATAAGCCAACAGCATTATTTGAGTGCTCTGTAGGTATAGGTACTACTAGATCGACAATTCAGAACAAAAGTTAGACATTGGATGGCTATAGTACTGTGCAATACTACAACTACAATGTGAATTAATTTTAAAACAATGCTTTACAGTGTCAATTATTTTACAGGTGCAATATGCAGTAAAAAACTTCACCTTTGTCGATTGACACGATAGGCCGGTTGGACTGCCACGGGTACTCGCCGTGGGCTTGGAAGTATATTGCGTAGGTTGATAGCTGAAACAAGTGTTAGATAATATTTGTAACTATTTGAACACTACTTAGTGAATACTCTCTGTAGAGAAATATTCATGGAACGCGTTTGAAGTAAATACAACGTACACATCATCAATATAAATGAAGTACCTATGCAGGCCAACAGCAATATCGCTGCAACACCACCTTCTTCACTGGTACTAAAAGAATTACCACGATAGACAGTCAGACGACAACGATTAAGAATTGTTAATGACCTAAGCTAGTTGTCAGCGCAGTACTTTATACTGCTTAAACGAGTGGGGGAGCTTAAACGTTTGTTAGTTATCTACTCTCACTCCTAACACCAGCAATATGGATATATTTGGAACCAAAACGACACGTTGGCAAAAATACATAGCTTGTCATTTTTACCAGCAAACAATTTATACCAGAGTCATACAATCGCGCTGCAGCCCGCTTGTAAGCATATAGTCCAGATGATGGCAAGTGGATGATAAGACCCATAGGTATATACCTGTATTCAACCTCTATGAAGAACCAGAATGCATTCACCCCTGAGAACCAGTAAAAAGGGGTAGTATTCTGTGCGAGTGTGGTATTTTCCCTGTCGATACACTGCAGCATGGCTTCAATAAGGGAAATCCTGATTTTTTTTAGAATAAAGGTGACAAATGTGCATACAGATGATGGTAAGTGGATACTATCAAACACAGCACCATAAAGCTATTCCTATATATAATTTTACGATGATATTTTGTAAGAGCGTGGTCGTAGACGGTGGAGCGGACCCGCCTCTGCTATAACCATAGTATAGCTGCAGCGTAGCTCTACCATACTACATATTGCCCTGTACCCGACCTTGTGGCGCTAGTGGTATAATAGCCACGTCGGGAATTGACTTAGTGTTTGCGATTTGCGTGGCTGTGGCAGTGGTCTAAAGGGTATAGAGAGCCAGTGTATTTCTAGGCAGGAGGCATCTAAGTGTTTAGAGTTGAAAATGCAATGCCTTCTACCACGTAAGTTCGTTAGTCAATTCGGTTTTATAAAAGATGTTGTTAATATTTGAATCACCTGTGTGTAGTAAAGGGCGAGCCAGTACTTCCCGCCATGTCCCACAAATGCTGTCTCGTTGGCATCGAGCAGGGGGCTGGGGATATTCTGGTGCAACGTCTCAGTCGATATGCGCAGGTTACAGCCGTACCTAAACGTTAAACGTATAAAATTTCGAAACGACAATTTAGTGTTGGATTATCAACTATCTTCTAAGGGTAAATAACGTACATGATACTTTCGCGGTTGAAATTCCAGTCTTTGTTCGTACCACTCTTAGTGAATAAAAATAAAGCGGAAATATTTCAATCTATTAATATTAATAAAAAAGTTGCCTTGTTTTTGCTGCCCGGCTTTACGTCTACAGTTCTTTAAAATATTTTTAAGCAAAATTGTACAAAACAGCGTACAAGCAATTGAACAGAGATCTTCAAATGCATGCGTCGAGACTTACGCAACTTTAAAACAGCTCGTATTGATGATCGTTTAAGAATAACCAAGGCTCTAAAGTCTTTGCCGGGGATCGGTCTGCCGAAAAGAGCCAAATGTTGAAGTTGAGGACCGACTGTGCTACCGTTATTTCCAGGACACCTAAAATTTTAAATGAAGTCGACAGGTTCTCCGGACAACTGTATTTAATCCACACGCGAGTGTAAGTAACGATGTAAGAGCAAAGTCTCATGCACCATCACCACTATTCACAGAGACAGTGTAAGCGAGATTAAGATGTCTTTGCACTCAGAAAACAGCAAGGCTTCGGGCGAATATGAAATTGTAGCGGAGCTAATGAAACCTAATTATAATTTAGACAGTGCTACTAGGATAAGAAATAACAATTAATATTCCCTAGAATCTAGGATAAACAAATGTGGCCTGCAGCATACCTAAAGTATATAATAATAATAATATTCCACAAATATCACACAACGTCATCTAGTCCCAAGCTAAGCAGAGCTTGTGTTATGGGTACTAGACAACTGATAAACATACTTATATATTTCTAAATACATAAATATTATAGATAAATTACACCCAGACACAGAACAAATGATCGTGCTCATCACACAAACATTTGTCCTGGGTGGGAATCGAACCCACGACCTGCGGCATAGCAGTCAGGGTCACTAACCACTAGACCAACAGGCCTGACAAATATATATATATATATATATATATATATATATATATATATATATATATATATATATATTCGACACTAAGTTTTCCATTATTTGCTTACTTGATATACCTACATAATGTAAGCTGACTAATGTCGGTTCGGAAAAACTGTCATGGTGAAAAAGTGAATTTATATTGATGTTTTTATTTATTTGAAATCCGTGAAACAAAAATTAAGGAGACCATAAATAAGTAAATAAATGTTTTATGTATCAAACTCTCAGTTGGAGCCTTAATGACTAATTATATGACATCATCATAACCATTATCATTACATCTCATCACAAGTTCAATGCCGACCATTGGCTCGTCCTAGGTACTATCACAAAATACTGTTACAAGCCAACTCAAGCCACTGTCTTCCTGCATGACTTACGAGGGCGGCACTGAAAATTTCTGGAATCAAGGAAGTGACACAACATTACTATTTATAAATGTATTTATTGCTTTTCGAAGTATTCTCCGCGAAATTTGACACTTTTTTCCCATACGATGGAACCAATCATTGAAGCAACCATTCCATTCGAAAGTTGGGGTCTCCAAAATGGCCGTTTTGTAGGCGTCCACAGCTTCTTCAGGTGATGAAAATCTCTGTCCACGCAATTTATTCTTTATTTTAGGGAAAGTATAGAAATCTATAGGGCTTAGGTCGGGGCTGTATGGCGGATGGTCTAATAATTCTATGTTTTCTTGCTCTAAAAACTCTTTTGTTCTGTGTGCGGTGTGAGAACTCGCATTGTCTTGATGGAGGATGATGCGGCGGTTGCAGTTTTCTTTACTAGCATACCATTCTGCATTAACCGTTCTTTGTCCCTCAAGAGAAATAATCGTAACATGGCTGGTTTTGGAAACAAACGTGGCAACCATTTTTTTTGCAACACTCCGTGAACGAACAATTTTTGTTGACTTTAACTCATTTTCGAACACCCAAACTCGTGACTGGTTTTAGTTTCGGGTTCGTACGCGTATATCCAGGATTCGTCACCTGATACGATGTTGTATACAGTATTTGAGGATCCTGCATGGAATCTTTCGAGAGTTCTGACGCACCAAGTAACGCGAGCCGCTTTTTGCTCTTCACAGAGCAAATGCAGTATCCATCGAGAAAACAACTGTTTTACACCGAATTGTTCATGCAAGATTATTTGTATTTGACTCATGTCAATGTCTAAAGTTGCCTGAATTTCGCGGTATGTCACATGTCAATCTTCCTCAATCAGCTTACGCACAGCATCAACGTTTTCTTGGGTGACTGCAGTTTTTGGACGACCTTGACGAGGATCATCACTGAGCTTGACACGTCTACGTTGAAATTCAGCAAACCAGCGATATATTGTGGTTTTGGATGGGATTTCATCACCAAATGCAGAAATCATCCGGTCAACACACTGTTTTTGTGTTAAACCACTTCGAAAGTCATAATAAATCATCGTTCTTGAATTTTCTCGAGTCAATGCTTTTTGATCTGATGGGTTATGTCGGTTACATCAGATAGAGAAAAATTTCATACCATATTCATCCCCTCATATGTCACTCTCATAAGTAAGTTGATTTTAACAACACCTCATATCTTAAATTGCTTAAACCAGATTTGGCTACAGAGTGTGCCAAGAAATAGACATACATACATACTCGTACGTACTCTTGAAAACCATTATCCTCTTGATGAGGCAGTCGGGTAAAAATAGGGTGAATGTAATGTGGTATCTGAAAAACAATGTACAATAAAGTGCAACTGACCAGTCGGGACAGGCCTTGAGGATGTCGTAGGGTGCCCTGTAGTACTCGGCGCGGCGCACGACCGGGTTGCGAACGTTGAACCTCTCGTTGGGGTCGGTAAGGTTGATCCGCTTGATCTTGACGTCGCGCCGCTCGCAGATGTAGTCGTAGTGGAACTTGGGTACTGAATCGCCGCGGGCGCAGTACGTCGCTGCAACAATACGTCGGCCTCACCGTACATTATATCCTCCAAACCGAATTTCGGTTACGGCGGCCAGTCAGTACAGAATAAATAAATATACAAACAAATAAATTAAAAGAGATCTGTGCCCACTGCCCAGGAGTGGGTCGTATATACGTAGTAACTTACATCCTATTTCGCGCGGTTTGACAAACGCAGTTTTTTTATTTTAGTTGTTATTAGAAAGACGCTGCTGCCCATCTCCTGGTTTGTCTGCCTCTGCCGCCTGTTACGACACCCGCGGGATGATATGGGGTAGTGGATATTCTTATAACCGCCACTACACGGTACAGATCATTTATGATTTGGAAATGGTTTTTCCCAACCGAAATAACAGTGTGCTCTATGTCTCTATCAGTAGAGAGAGACATTGCACACGAAGTTAAGATCAATTCTCTGTAAACTCCTTCAGTCAAGCGCGAGTGGACGAGAACACTATTTGAGAAAAGAACACGAGTAGTTGTTTGTTCTGTAAGCCGCGAACGTTGTTTTCGATAATCTAACATTGTTTAATGTGACTAAAAACGCTGTTATTATTTATGTTATTACTTAGTCAAGGTGATTTAAACTATATTTCAAACAGGTACGTAAGTTTATTTCGTATTACCTAAAACAGTGGCCGTTGTAAATTACAATAAAACTGCTTTCCACAGCTATGACACAGTTAATAGTATTCATAGCAGTCCTTGTTGCATGTAAGTATGTGAAATCACAAATATGAGGTACGCACTTACTCTTGTGGGTGCCGTCGAGCGTGTTCACTGCGGCGTACTGATCGATGCAGTACCGGTAGCCCAGCGAGGTCGGGTAGCGCAGTAGAGGCACTCTGCAGGAAAACCGGCCCTCTTGGTACATTGCGCCCTATCCGTACCATACAACATTTATGTAAATTAGCATTTTTTTCTCTTTATTCATCATAAAACCAACAGTTTAATGCCAATATAACAGGTTCATATTATCGCTTGGTATAGTTAAATTAATTATAATATGTTACTTAGATATTTACAGGTTAACTCAATAATAAATACAAATAAAAAAAAATTATAAGAGAAATATACAACTTAACTAAAAACAAATATTATTACATAAAACTTAAATACTCACATACCTACATACTAACGATGTAAAGAATGTTCAATTTCCACATTCGCGAATGCGAATATTCAACTCCAATATTCGCGATTGCGAATATTGGCCTTTTAAATATGACGCCTAAAGTATGCAGTTAATATCTGCATTTACAAACGGCCATGTTGAAACTGAAAGTAGTCGATACAACAAGAACCTCAAAGTAGAATCCGTTATTGTTCTCTTATTAACTGAATTTAAAGTTAAAGTAGCATTCAATAGCAGTCTATATACGTCCCATTGCTGTGCACAGGCCTCATCTCATTTTCGAGAGGGTTTAAGGCCAAAGAAATATCCGCTGCGTCGCCCCAATGTGTGTAGGCGAACTTCACATGTCTTTGAAATATTTTATTATCTTATTAATCAGACATGCATGTTTCCTCACGATGTTTTCACATACAAGGATCTTGAACGTGATGCTTGCGCGTGATGCCCGCGCTGTGAGCTTTTATGCGTGCGTGCTTGCGTGCGTGCGTGTGCATGATTTGAGTGGCTCGAAGAAACTGGCTAAGTGTGCTCGTAGTTGCAAATCATAGGAAATTATTAGCTTCAAATGGGATCGAAATTGAATATTGCACTTTTTTAATAAGAAATTTTTAATAAGAAAGCCAATACATTTTTTAATAAGAAATTTATAAAATTGTACCTTAATATTTGGGATATTAAGGCACAAGCCAATACATTTTTTAATAAGAAATTTATAAAATTGTACCTTAATATTTGGGATATTAAGGTACAAGCCAACATATTTTTTAATAAGAAATTTATAAAATTGTACCTTAATATTTGGGATATTAAGGTACAAGCCAATACATTTTTTAATAAGAAATTTATAAAATTGTACCTTAATATTTGGGATATTAAGGTACAAGCCAACACATTTTTAATAAGAAATTTATAAAATTGTACCTTAATATTTGGGATATTAAGGTACAAGCCAATACATTTTTTAATAAGAAATTTATAAAATTAAGTACCTTAATATTTGGGATATTAAGGTACAAGCCAATAATCACATTTTTTATAAGAAATTTATAAAATTGTACCTTAATATTTGGGATATTAAGGTACAAGCCAATACATTTTTTAATAAGAAATTTATAAAATTGTACCTTAATATTTGGGATATTAAGGTACAAGCCAATACATTTTTAATAAGAAATTTATAAAATTGTACCTTAATATTTGGGGTATTAAGGTACAAGCCAATACATTTTTTAATAAGAAATTTATAAAATTGTACCTTAATATCTGGGATATTAAGGTACAAGCCAATACATTTTTAATAAGAAATTTATAAAATTGTACCTTAATATTTGGGATATTAAGGTACAAGCCAATACATTTTTTAATAAGAAATTTATAAAATTGTACCTTAATATTTGGGATATTAAGGTACAAGCCAATACATTTTTTAATAAGAAATTTATAAAATTGTACCTTAATAATTTGGGATATTAAGGTACAAGCCAATACATTTTTAGTAAGAAATTTATAAAATTGTACCTTAATATTTGGGATATTAAGGTACAAGCCAATACATTTTTTAATAAGAAATTTATAAAATTGTACCTTAATATTTGGGATATTAAGGTACAAGCCAATACATTTTTAATAAGAAATTTATAAAATTGTACCTTAATATTTGGGATATTAAGGTACAAGCCAATACATTTTTTAATAAGAAATTTATAAAATTGTACCTTAATATTTGGGATATTAAGGTACAAGCCAATACATTTTTTAATAAGAAATTTATAAAATTGTACCTTAATATTTGGGATATTAAGGTACAAGCCAATACATTTTTTAATAAGAAATTTATAAAATTGTACCTTAATATTTGGGATATTAAGGTACAAGCCAATACATTTTTTAATAAGAAATTTATAAAATTGTACCTTAATATTTGGGATATTAAGGTACAAGCCAATACATTTTTTAATAAGAAATTTATAAAATTGTACCTTAATATTTGGGATATTAAGGTACAAGCCAATACATTTTTTAATAAGAAATTTATAAAATTGTACCTTAATATTTGGGATATTAAGGTACAAGCCAATACATTTTTAATAAGAAATTTATAAAATTGTACCTTAATATTTGGGATATTAAGGTACAAGCCAATACATTTTTAATAAGAAATTTATAAAATTGTACCTTAATATTTGGGATATTAAGGTACAAGCCAATACATTTTTAATAAGAAATTTATAAAATTGTACCTTAATATTTGGGATATTAAGGTACAAGCCAATACATTTTGTAATAAGAAATTTATAAAATTGTACCTTAATATTTGGGATATTAAGGTACAAGCCAATACATTTTTAATAAGAAATTTATAAAATTGTACCTTAATATTTGGGATATTAAGGTACAATCCAATACATTTTTTAATAAGAAATTTATAAAATTGTACCTTAATATTTGGGATATTAAGGTACAAGCCAATACATTTTTTAATAAGAAATTTATAAAATTGTACCTTAATATTTGGGATATTAAGGTACAAGCCAATACATTTTTTAATAAGAAATTTATAAAATTGTACCTTAATATTTGGGATATTAAGGTACAAGCCAATACATTTTTTAATAAGAAATTTATAAAATTGTACCTTAATATTTGGGATATTAAGGTACAAGCCAATACATTTTTTAATAAGAAATTTATAAAATTGTACCTTAATATTTGGGATATTAAGGTACAAGCCAATACATTTTTTAGAAATTTGGTTCATAGTCATTTGGTTCATGGTAAAAATTTCAATAACTGTATGACTGAACACTAGTACCATTCTACACAGTGGACACACGTTCCGTATGTAGAGGGGGTTGCGAACTAACCTCCCCAAAGCTAATCGTAACAAACTATCGACTCTAAAGCCCTAGCCCCCTACTGTGTAGTGGCAATGTAAGAATATCTGCTACCCCATATCATCCCGCAGATGCCGTAAGAAGCGACAGAAGGAAATCAAATAGTAGCATCATCCACATAACAAGGCAAAGTAATAAAATTGCTGATGTCAACCCGCTGACCTAGCGTGATTTTTTTTATAGGATAGGGTGACAAACGAGCACACAGTCCACCTGATGGTAAGTGGTTGCTGTAGCCCATAGACATCTACATCTGTCATCGATTACGAATCAAAATGCAGATGCGTTGTCACCCGTGAGGACTAAGATGGAATGCCTCGTTTCCAGTAAAAAGGGTCTCCGGTTGTCTACACTCACCATACGAAACACAGCATCATTGAGCTACTATTTTACGTTGGTATTCTGTGAGAGCGTGGGCCTTTCCCCGGTCGAGCCGACCCATTTGTGCTACAACTATACTACTAATATAATTGCAACATGGCTCTACCACGTATAAAACTCACATAGGTGGTATTTTAATAGACTGTAATGGTAATGGACTATTTTCCCACTTTTATGCCAAATGTTCTCTTGTGACGACTAAAAGAGTCTTCGTCAAGCAGGAGGAATCGGGTGTGGGAATTCGCGCTGCCATCTAGGTACGCCGACTCACACACCTGATCATGTATGATAAGATTTCAGGATTTTCAAGTGGAGATTAGAAATATTGTAGTTAATGACTTGTCATGCCCAGAACATGAGGAAGCAGATGGCAAGATTATGTACCATGAGCGTTACGCTCATGGTACATAAACATCAACATCAACAAAATATGAAGCAAATAAAGTAATCCAATCCACTTCACTTTGCACGTCGTCATCTTCCTCATCTCTTTTTCTATCAATTCCATCATCATCGCAATTATTCCGCGACTCTCCGACAGCAACATCATTATCATCAATCAGTATACAGTCAGCGGATGTGGTACAAGAGACAAATTTTGTCGACGAAAAATATATTTGTTATTAATTAGAGTGATTATTGCTAACAAATAAATAAACAGCAACAGGCTAGAATAAATGAAAAACCATAATAACACATAATACTGAATACATAAATAATGAACATTTGAACACAGAACTGCACAACAACTTAAATAACCTGATGAGTACATCCATATACTAACACTCAACATACAATAACTTACACCTCTGGCACACCCACAAACACCTTGCAAACAAGAATACCCCTAAACGATAACACACGTACTAACATCGTATTGCACACCCTTCATAAAGATTTCTTAAGTAACATAGATGTCAGAAATCAACTCAGAAATAGAAAATATGTTTCTTCAAGCTCAACCATATCTTACAAATACACACCAAACTAATAGGCTTTTACATATATAAACACTGTAATTTTCCCTAAGGACGTCAATCTACACCAATTTTATGACATTGCAGACAATATTTTATTGTGCAGCATAGACTGCAGCTATGAGCAATGAGGCTAAAATTTCACACTCCACACAAAATAAAAAACGAATATATATACAAAAAATTAACCAAAATGGTAAGTCAGACTAGAAAAGGAATCGAACTTCTAAGATTGACACACTTCATTAATGGTAGCAGAAGTAAAATAGTAATAGTTGCAATAGAATCAATAAAAGGATAATACGAAATACACGCACAACACGAAAATTCCAATACAGAACTAGAACACTTAAAAACAAAAACTAAACGCAGCATCCAGTAGAGTCAAAAGATATATAACATGCACGAATCGCAAAATACAAAACACAAGATTTACAAACAATGAAATTTTTTTAAAGAAACCTTACTTCTAATAACAGAGACACTAGTAACCAAAACCTAGAGACACTAGTAATTAAAACCTAGAGATACCTTCGTCCGAAACAATACAGGAATTTGGGCCAACATTTAGAAAAACCATAATAATCACGTACACTGGACAACGAGACAACACCAGAAATCCCAGAAAAGGAATTTGAACGTATACCAATAGATATATTTATAGACGTCATCAAACGTACACAAATCTGGAAAGCACCAGGCACAGACAATATTCACAACTAATGGTATAAGAAATTTACCAGCATACATCAATTCGTACATAACCACTTAAAAACATTCATCTAATCACCACATTTACTTCCAACATACAAAGCACACGGAGTAACAATAACATATATGATACTTACCCGAAAACATGAATGACAACATAAACCCAGCAAAATACCAGTTACTAATTACTTGTCTACAAACCTAGTTCAAAATCTTAACATCCTTGTAGCGGCGTTGTCGTCGCGCCACAAGCGAAACACACCGACGCCTAAATTGCGCTATCAAAATTCCGAATCATAAACAGTATATATAGAACAGCTCCGAACTATATCACACCTGCGCCCACCTTTCTGGCAAGGAGGGTCGCGTCCGTTTACGGGTTAATGATCTCTCGTCAGATCGGTAAGCCAATCCCAAAAAGGTGGAGTATAGTGGCTAAAAGTCTCCACATAACCACGCAGCCGGCTGCGTGGTATGCCATGAGCATTCTTCACCTCCCTCCCCCGTTACCGGAGGGTTGCCCTTATTTGCTTCGGGCGCAAAAAAAAATATCACACTGAGTGTTGGCCGCTCCCCGGGCAGAACACCTTGCCCGGCGGGAGATCTTCCCTTTTCCTTCCACGGCCATATCCTACGCGAAATAGTATATGAACATTTTACCAAAAATAATATTCTAGCAACAAAAGGGATGTCGTAAGAATAACCAAGATAACTTACTATTGATGGAGTTATTTTGAACCGCGGTTAAAAGCAAGAAAAATATACAGACAATGTTTAACGATTACGATGTTAGTGCTATTAGCCTTTTAATCTAGTAGCGGTAAACGCTGCTGATCATAAGGTCCTGGGTTCGAACTCCGGGTCGGACCAAAATCAGTTATTGGATTTTGCTGTCGAGAAATTCTCAATAGTAACCCGGAGTCACGAAGCTGACGGTGTATCATCCCCGTGCTTCATATAGCCATGGGTCCTTCGCCTGATTTCCCTCCGATCGTGACGGATTATCGTCCCATCTGACTACGATAATAAGGAAATGGAAAACGCACATGTATTTGCGCATACACTCGTGCACTATAATCCTGTCCCGCACAGATATCTTGTCTCTGTTGAGACTGGTCGCCGTGAGTCTAGGTCTCGAAGAGATTATCGTATAAAAATAATATATTAACAAAGCGAACAATAAATCTGAACACAGTGTTTGATGTTAACAGTATTGTTATTGATCACTATAAAACGTATAAACAGGCAACCTTGCAGATGACGCTGCGTCGGCCCGGTGGACGCGAGACGCCACCAAAGCAGTAGGAGCGTGTGCCATTGATCATGATCTCGGTGACACCGATGTGCGACACCAGAGTGATCCCGTTGATGCCGGCCAGCGCGAACCTCTGCAACCCAGCGCGTTTCCGCACCTCCACGTTGTTCTTCATGCTCATAGTGTTCACAATTGCCTGCCACCCGTACACAAACTCGTGCATCGGACCTGAGCTCAACATATTTACGCATTTCTGAAAGAATCATTCTTTAGGATCGTTGTGATTTGAAATCCGATTAAACGAAAAAGCTACACTAAAAAGATAAATATATGTATACATTTGTAGGATTTAGCCTGCGAAAGAATAACATAGAATACAGTATACAGTGTTTCTTATTATTTTAGACTCCTTTTCTGAAGGTTTGACTTCTACCGCGTGTGAACTGCACACGTGATGTTTTAAAAAAAAACTAGTAAGGTTATTGACATTACTAATACGCCCATTAACCTCTAAGTACATGTTAACAGTATTTCACCACAGTAGTCGAACGGGTTCGTACCCACGACTTTCCGAATTAATTGGCCGCACTATATCATTAGACTTTTGGCGTATAAAATAAATTATTACACAATTGCTACTATAACACTTTAAATTTTAACAGAAAAGCGCAAATGACTTCTCGTACTAGACGTTAGACCGTGCCTGTCCAAGTTCCACTGCAAGTTTCACCAACAATTTACTGCGAAACATTAGTTCACTAATTTTTTAGAATCCCAGAAGTATTTGCTAAGATCTGCGTAATAATCATAACGCGGATCTTAGCTAATTAATTTAATAGCTATTTACTCTATGTTTAATAGCCAAGTTAACAATTTTCAACTGTTAAAAGCTACGCATATTTAATTTATTTCAATTAGTTTTAGAGGCCAATAAAAGATCAATTAATACAAGACAGTTATAATAATAATTATTGTTTGACTACAAGCATAATACTCACAAAGGAAAATCTTTCGGCTGAGCCGTTGTCAGCTGTCAGAATAACTAATAATAATAAATCACTTGTACAATTTTCACCAATATGAAATAATTACATACTGGAGAGTATTGTGAAAATATTTCATTTATGGAGTAAAATTCTTTTATTTAGGCCGTAAATGATTGTGTTTTAGGGAAAGATGCGGGTTACAGCACATTCCACGTCAATATGAAGCTATGTAATACAGTGGAATCTCGATAAATCGAATTGCGAGGGTAATGCTTAAAATTTCGGGTAACTGTGTTTACGACTTAACAAGAGTTTTGAGATATTTTCCCAAACATAAACAAAAAAAAGGTAGATTAGTTAGGGGAGGTAGGGGAGAGTTTTTCAGTTCGGAGACATGGACACCTCGTCGTAATTCCAGTTCGATTGTAAAACTTATTTTATTTTAATTTTGGTTGTATATTTTACGCATAGAAAATTTGTCATTTCGTTCAGTTGTCAAAGTTACACGCTCTTTAAGGTTATATGCGCGTCAAAGTAAACATTTTGTTGTGGTTTCACCATACGTAATCAAAGAACCAGTGAAGGCAAGTCTTTTATTTTTATTTTATATCCGTTGTATATTAACTAACGTATATATTAACCTGTAAGTAACGCTAAAATATCTAACCATAAAACTTCAAAGGAAACTTAAGTTGAAAAAGTATGCAGAGGGAGCAACGGGCAGTAATTTTGAGGGTCGTTTGGGCATGCCCAATGCTCCCACCTTTAAGTGATGTGTATAGTGAAAGTTTGTTTTATATTACCTAAATTAAGTTAAAATGTTGAGATGATGTTAATTGCAGAAGGACGCCGTTCGGGCATAAAAAGAAGGGTAAGCGAGGCGAAGTTCCGAAAGACAGAATATTACGTGCCATAGTGTCAAAAACCGGTAACATAAAAACAACTGATGATGAGTTTGAAAGACGTAGAACAAACTTGCTACGATATCTTAAACAAGAATATGTAAAGGATTCTTCATCCAGGTTTATATCTTCACAAATTTTCGGTTTATATTATGTAACATGGGTGTTTTAAATATTAAGCCCAAACCTCCCACAGGGGTGCCTGAACCTCCCTACCATGGGAAGCTTTGGGCACAATTGACATGTTTCTGATATCCTTTTGTATTTTTAAGACTGATTATAATTTGTAGACTGTTCTTTGTAAAACATCTTTGCAAATATATGGGGCAATTGAACTTGGCAATAAATATTGGATATTGTTGCGCGCCTAAGTTGACGACTGGTAGCTAGAAAAAGTTTTTAAAGCCGGTGCATGCCGCGATCGGGTCGTATTGAATTTGGCGAGACAAGCGAATCTTCGGAGCGAAATAAAGTGAATCAGTGTGATTAAGGTAATAAAAGTGTAAATTTTGGTAATTCAATCGGCAGTTTTTATTGTCACGAACCTCAAGCTCGTAACAATTGGATAAAATCATGCCCATTTTACCTAAGGAGGAAATGGAGGGTCTCCGTACCCGAAGTCAACGCCAGCAGGAGACGGACCAAAGAAGATTTGGTGGTGCAACGCCGCAAACGTCGGAGGGCCAGCCACCGGCTGCAGGCCCGTCAGTAGCTCCTACATCTGCAGCACCTGACTTAGGTGCTCTGATAGTGATGCTGCAGGAGCAAGCTCGCCGACAGGAGGAGCAGGCCCGTTGGTTGAAAGAGCAGCATGAGGAACAGGCTCGCCGACAGGAAGAACAGGCTTGCCGACAGATGGAACAGGCTCGCCGACAGGAGGAACAGGCTCGCCAACAGGAGAAACAGGTCCATCGATTGGAAGAGCAGCTGCGGGGCGGACAAGAGGAACAGGTTCGTCGTTTGGAAGAGCAGCTGCGGGGTGGACAAGAGGAACAGGTCCGTCGTTTGGAAGAGCAGCTGCGGGGCGGACAAGAGGAACAGTCCCGTCGGTTGGAAGAGCAGATGCTCCTCATGAAGGAACTTCACGCTACCTTCGGGAAGGAGATAAAGGAGGTGAAGGATAGGGTTGCTCAGCATGACAACCGCCTGAAGCTAAGCCAAATCGCGAAAGCTGAAACCCGGATCGACCAAGTGAACAATCGGGTTGACAACGTGATGGCTGACGTGAAGAAAACGCTGGAAGACCTCAAACTGGGGGATGGAATTACAGATCCCGTAGTTGCTACAACACCTTCGCTACGTGGGTTCAAGGTGCGACCGTTCGACGGAACTTCTTCCTGGTCGGCCTACAAAATCCAGTTCGAAGCTGTTATGAAGGCGAACGGTTGGAATAAAAGTCAGGCCATGACTGCTTACACCCTAGACCTGCGCGACCAGGCCGTAACAGTTATGGAAGCTCTCGGTGAGGAAGTGACTTATGAGCATCTCCTTGAGGCATTGGAGGCGAGATACGGCGACGCTCACCTGGAACACGTCTTTCATGCGCAGCTTAAAGATCGCGTGCAGTGCATCAACGAAAACCTGCGGCAGTGGGCTTTAGAGGGGGAGAAGCTGGTGCGAAAAGCATACCAGTCTGTACCTGCGCTCATTGAAGGGAACCTGGTGCAGACATTCATCGACGGCATCCGCGACCTTGAAGTCAGAGCTGCTGTGAAGCTCGGGCACCACGAGACACTTAAGGACGCCTTGGCCCATGCACTGGAGGTGGAATCCGTGCGGCAGGATCATCGTTCCCATCGCATCATGGAGGTTGCAGCAGCTACAGTTCGCGACTGCAATAATGGATACAGCCCTAGGTGCTATGGCTGTGGGGAAAGGGGCCATCTTCGATCCAGCTGCCCTAAGCGAACTGTAGAAAGGGAAGTTGATCGATCTCGAGAGGGTAGTGCAGCTAACGGCACCGCCTGGCGGCGGCAGGATCATCGTTCCCCTCACGTTAGGGAGGTTGCAGCAGTTACGGTTCGCGACCACAATAAAATTACAGCCCAAGATGCTCTCTGACAATCTTTTATGAGAAGTTTTATGCATGCTTCAAAGTTGGCTGTTTAAGAATGCTTAGCATTAAAAGTTCGTCTTTTTACTGACTGCCAAGAAGTGGTTACGTTTTATACAACTACCTACCTACCTACTTATTAAAGTACTCACATACTATTAACGTAATAATGAAAATTGTAATAAATCATTATTTATAAATAATAAACTAATATTAATTTGCTTTTTAATACATTTAGGTACACGATAATCTTCTTTCTTTATTATATAATAATAGACATAGGGCCTGTTAAGAACTTCGCACTCGGCACCCTTATTTTTCACTCTGATGATGTATGTAATGATTAAAGGATAAAAAATGAACCTAAACAAAAAGATTGCCTACCCCCATGATATATATCGTCAGAGGACAATGTACTTTTTTCCGCCTGCCCTAGAAACGTACTATAACTTCGCCTTACGGAGTCTGCTTTTGAAATTCAAGTTACAGAGTATAGTATATATATATAATTGATATATATATATATATATATATATATATATATATATATATATATATATATATATATATACTATGACGTAGTAAAAGTATTTTCGTTTCACAGCTTACCTCAACTCTATTAGTAATTACTCAAAAATGACACAAATTTTTCCCCTTTTAAGGAGCAAATTTAAGATTATTATCTTAATGTATCAGTGGTTAAAAAATTCCCAGAGGTGCGAGGATGCAACTTTCTGAAGCATTGTCATGCACTATTGTAAATAACAGATGATAGAAATAGCAGACAGTAGTGAAAATGCCTTTTTTATTTTCGTATATTCCCAATTTAATTTTGATAAAACAATAAATAAATCAATTACATCTCTACTAAATGAGACATCTTTTCAAAATTTAGATACTCAGAAAGTGTGAAGTTTCTAAAGGAACTCTATCCGCGACTGGTCATTACTGCTGGAGATAAGAGGGCTGGTTGTTTTCTCGCTCAAAAGCAAAGTATAGCCATTCAACGAGAAAGCGTTCTTGGCGTACAAGCGTACCACGGGATGTGGGACTGTGTGATAGTTAAGTTATTAGTTTCAGTTTTTTTTATTATAGTTTTTTAATATTGTATATATTTCAAAATTACTACTCTGTCAATAAAGTACCGGGAAAAGATCAATAATACTCAATATGTTAGTTATTTATCCAAGTCTATTTTATCACATTCAAAGTATGCAAAGTATTTTATTACCTTCAGATACGATACACTTTCTCCAACGGATAATAGAATCATCAAAAAAAATTTTA